AATCGCTGCTGAATGAGCACAAACTTAGGGACCATTCGCTGCCCGAACCGGTGGTGTCCGTCAACCACAGCACCGGTACGCCAGCGGCGGGTGATGTGAACCCACCTCTCACTGACACCACCACTCAATCGGTGCCAAAACCGGTGTCAACGCTATGTCTATTTGAATGCCATTTTAAGGACTGTTACGGAATGTTTACCACCGAAGAGATACTGCAGAAGCATAAGAGGGCTGTCCATCAAAAGCACGACCAGTTGTCGACATCGGCTCAAGAACTCCCCGCTGTTCCCATTGAGAACATTGAATCTCAAACACTTCCAAGTCTTTCTGATGATACCACTGGAACTCAAGCACTTCCAGGCCTTCCCAGTAATCTCAGTGCCTCTCAAGTACTTCCAAGCGTTTCCAGTGATAATTCTGTGCCTCAACTATCGCCTGGCCTTTCAAGTGGTGTCACTCCATCTCAAGCACTTCCATCACTTTCTAATGATAATCCTGTGCCTGAAGTACTGCCCGGCCTTTCCAGTGATAACTGTGCGCTCAACACATCCATTGGGTATTCATTTTATGCGTTAATTTACTGTACTTTTAAAACCTAATTGATTTTATTTACTATAAAATAGTGGTCTAAGAGTTGTTGACATACCTGTGCCCACACCGGCCAACACTGAGAACAGTAACCGATTATGGGATACAATCTTAGGAGTGGTCAGTCAGCCACCGGCCGTCACCATAACTCTCACCGACTCAGACATCAGTGACGTTATCAGCGAAACGATTCCAGCGCTCGACACCANTTTTAAGGATTGTTTGGGAATGTTTGCCACCGAAGAGACACTCGACAGCCATCGCAAGGCTATCCATCAAAAGCCCGATCAGTTGGATAACACTTATGGGCGCACTGTTTGCCGGGAAAGGGATGGCAATCGGGACCAACCGGACGAGCGTATAGACAGTGCCCACAGACCCGCCGCCGGACACACTGTCACTCCCGATAGGCATCAGTTTACTGAGAGGGAGAGCGCCCGCAACGGACCAGTCGTTGACACCGACGACGAAGAGTTGACCGATTGGCGCACCGCTGGAGACCAGACACCGACTGTCGTATCGCACAAATCGGTGGACACATCGGTGGCGGCGCCGCTCGAGACGGCCCCCAATGAGCCACAAAATGTAAGCATTTAATCAATTATTATTTTATTTCATTTTTTTATTTTAAAAAATAATTTCTTAAAATTTATGTTTATTTACAGCAAAGAAAATTCAAATGTATTGATAAAAATTGTGGCAAAAGTTTCAAATCACAACATGGATTAAATCAACACAAACGCACACATTCGGGAGAAAAACAATTTGTTTGTGATTTCAATGAATGCCACAAATGTTTTACACATAAATATGCTTTAATTCGACACAGAATTTGTGTTCATTTGAATGAAAGACAATTCAAATGTAATGAAGAAAATTGTGGCAAAATATTCGCACTAAAACAGCATCTAATTCTACACGAACGCAGTCATTCGGGAGAAAAACCATTTGTTTGTGATTTCAATGAATGCCACAAAAGATTTTCAGACAAAAGCAATTTATTTCGACACAAAAGTTGTGTTCATTTGAATGAAAAGAAATTCAAATGTAATGAAGAAAATTGTGGCAAAAAATTCCAAACAAAACAGAATCTAAATCGACATAAACGCAGTCATTCGGGAGAGAAACCATTTGTTTGTCATTTTAGTGATTGCAACAAATCGTTTACTCAAAAAGTATGTTTAAAACGACACTTCAAAACACATAAGAAAAGTCATTAATCTATTCATATCTCTATAATAAAAACTTTTAAATATAAACTTGTTTTTGATAAATAAAATTTTATAATTAAACCACAATAAGTAATCATAACAAACAATATGTTGTATTAAATATATCATAATTAATAAATAAATGCTTAACAGTTAAATAAATAGCAATCAAAGTGCAAAAACAAATGCCATAAACATAGATTTAAGCCAACAAAACAATCAATTAGTCCAACGTTTACTAAGGGCTCGGGTGGGCGCAGGCCTTATGGTCGGCCAGATTGGACCGAAACAGAAATGTTTGGTCGCATTCATCGCATGTAAACAACACTTGACTCATAGGAGGCGACGGTAAGCGCGGTGTAGGACCAGTAGTGCCGGTGCTGTAAGTGTTTAGTGTTAAACACAATTAAGTTGTGTTTTATAAGTGAATTATAAATATACTTATGATATATGATATCGATTGGGCTAACGCTGGCGTTCATATAATTGGTCATTAATGGACTGCGAGTGCGGGCACTAAAATATTTGTTACCATATATTTATTGACCTGTTGTTTGTGAACTGTATGAGTCATATGGATTCGCAGTTCACTCACATTGTATGCATTGTGTGAATAAGTGACTAAACAGAGTTCACACAAACAGTTCAACTCTGACTTAAAGTGTTAACAAATTGATTGCCATTTGAATAGTGATAATTGTGTTGAGTATTGAGTACTCAATGGATTTGCACATCGATTCAGACATCGATGACAGGTATGGTATCCATGGGTTGTGACCACCGATTCATTGAAACCACTGTTTGTATTGAATAAAGCGGTCATTTGATGGCCGCCATCGACGACCAGTTTATGGCCGACCAATCGCTTCCCACTCATGAAGACTACACACGTATTGACTCATTGCTGGAACGGCTGTCCGAACGGTATCCCGACGTTAAGCCAGTGGTCGGCGCTTCTGGCGATACGTAAGACTTAATACCAATGAAACTGACAGTCATTTTGTGTGTTATTTACTGATTGTTTGTTTAGTTCAACGACTGATTTAAACAGTGATATAAAACCTGATGTCAACGCCATTGCGCACAACTCGATGACCGATATTACCGGCAATAGTGCCGTCACAGCAGCGGGTGATAGTGTGGCACAAACTGCTGGCCAATCAGTGGTCACGCAGTCAGACACCGATGTGTCCGCCACTGACGAGGCACTGATCGATGTTAAGCCACTCATAACTAATCCGAGTTTACAGTCATTGGCCGCCACTTTAAGCACTCAAACCGAAGACAGAGATAGTGGTGAACCAGTGATGGCTTATATACCGGCGCCACTGATTGGGAACAATACAGTAAACCGTAATAGAGATGAACAGTCATGTGTTGGCACAACACCTATCGGTGCCATCATTTCAAACACCGATAGCCGAACAATAGCCACAACTAATTATATGTATTTTTGTTTTGTTTTTACTATCATTTGAAATACTAAACCATTTTCTCATAGAAATACTGCCAAAGAAGTGACTGTTAATGAAGAGACAGTCGGTGTGAACAGTGGTCAAGAAGTACGCACACAATCGACAGCACCGGTCGATAAGGAAGTCAGTGAACGGCGCACAAGAAGAGGAAGAAGCAGTACTTTGAGTGATGGAGAACTGATAGACGACGAGACTATGGCCTATACTGAGCGGGAGTTTGAGTGCCGCGAATGCCGGCAGCCATTTGGCCACAACCGGTATGAATACAATGAACACCTGTTTATCATTCACGGCGAACGACAGCCATATCGGTGTGATTACGACGACCCGCGCCGACCACTTGACAATCGGTGCGGCAAACAGTTTGACCGGGCGTTTGATTACGTGCGCCATCAACGCAGCCAACACGACCTGCGCGTGACCTACGATTGCGAGTACAGCGGGTGTGACCAGTATTTTGATCACAGGTCGGCCATCAAAGAGCACATCATTAAAAAACACGGCAAACAATCGCCGTTTGTCTGCGATCGGGCCGACTGTGGCCACAGTTTTGGCCGCGAAACGCAACTCTACGCCCATAAACGTGACGATCACACCAACAGACCGCTCGAGTCCAGCCATAGCCGACGCTCAGCGAGTCATAAGGATTTCCAGTGCGAAGACAACGATTGTGGCCAACGATTTGCCACTCAGTCGGCGCTCGACGACCACAACGAGAACAACCATTTGACTGATTGGCACGAATGCGATGCCAAAGACTGCAACCGAACATTTGTTAACCAATCGCTGCTGAATGAGCACAAACTTAGGGACCATTCGCTGCCCGAACCGGTGGTGTCCGTCAACCACAGCACCGGTACGCCAGCGGCGGGTGATGTGAACCCACCTCTCACTGACACCACCACTCATAATCGCTGCTGAATGAGCACAAACTTCGCAACCATTCGCTGCCCGAACCGGTGGTGTCCGTCAACCACAGCACCGGTACGCCAGCGGCGGGTGATGTGAACCCACCTCTCACTGACACCACCACTCAATCGGTGCCCAAACCGGTGTCAACGCTATGTCTATTTGAATGCGATTTTAATGAATGTTTCGGAATGTTTACCACCGAAGAGAGACTGCAGAAGCATAAGAGGGCTGTCCATCAACAGCACAACCAGTTGTTGACATCGGCTCAAGAACTCCCCGCTGTTCCCATTGATACCACTGGAACTCAAGCACTTCCAAGCTTTCCCAGTAATGTCAGTGCCTCTCAAGTACTTCCAAGCATTTCCAGTAATAATTCTGTGCCTCAACTATTGTCTGGCCTTCCAAGTGATGTCACTCCATCTCAAGCACTTCCACCACTTTCTAATGATAATGCTGTGCCTGAAGTACTGCCCGGCCTTTCCAGTGATAACTCGGCGCTCAACACATCCAATGGGTACTCATTTTATGCGTTAATTTACTGTATTTTTAAAAACTAATTGATTTTATTTACTATAAAATAGTGGTCTAAGAGTTGTTGACATACCTGTGCCCACACCGGCCAATACGGAGAACAGCAACAGATTATGGGATACTATCTTAGGAGTGGTCAGTCAGCCGCCGGCCGTCACCATAACTCTCACCGACTCAGACATTAGTGACGTTATCAGCGAAACGATTCCAGCGCTCGACACCATCGGCTCGTCGGCTAGCGATGGGATACTCACCGGTCGATTAGTGCCGCCGCCGTTACCGCCGCAGAGCCTATTGACTGCACCACTGGTGTCGCCATTTCCTGTTGCGGCCGGCCTTACAATGATATCATCGGCTTATACTCATCACAGGTATCGTATATTGTGTGCTGTAATACATGTATGAATTTAAAGCTCTCTCTCTCTCCAGTTCTGAAT